TGTTTTTCTTCTTTTCTTACATTTACCGAAGTGTTGCATTTTTTTAAATTGTCCACTACTGCCTACAAAAATAATCCCTTCCAAAAGAGCAAATAATTAAAAGTCTATGCAGTAAGAAAACTGCTGAGCCTCCTTAGAATGGAGACACTTTGCCTTTGAATCATTCATTTTCCAAAATGTATTCCGTCCACAAGTAACTTCTTGAAGACATGCAGAAATCCTATCCTACCCAATCCAAATGAAAATGAAAAAAAAAAAAAAGCCTTTAAACTGCTCCTGCAGAAGTGCTGCATTGTGTTTTCATAAGGTGAGTTTGGGAAAAGATAAAAATGATTTGCTCTGCTATTAGGACCCATTATAAATGAAGAAGATTATGTTTGACTCCTTTCAGAGGAGTATTTCACAGTATGATAGAATGTCATGGTCACCATAATGAATTTGACAGTAACCATTTGCAAATAATTAATGGTACCATGGCATTCCCCATCTCAAGCCACAGTATTTTTAATTATGTGCAGTGGCCACACTACAATGATTTTTAAGATAACTACTCTAGAAGCAGTATCTGTGTGGAATTGAAAGAGGGCTTGGAGAAAATCGTATCATATTGTAAGTTGAAAGATGTGGCCACAGGTTTTTGCTGCAAAAATGAAACGGAGAGTGTTTCACCTGTTCCCATTTTTCCATTTAGTTAGAAATGCAATTGCGTGCTCGATTCAGAGTGGGGAAGGACCAGCTAGTGAGGGTATAGGTTGTGTGACTGAACCTCTGAATTAGAAGGTTGGGCTTGCTGTTGAAAACAAGGTCTATGAACAGTGTTTGTTATTTCAAGTGTAATAATATCTTCAAATTATGGGGATCTGAGCAGGGGTATAGTGATGGTGGCGGGTCCGAGGAGCTTGGACAGCCTGCAGGCTGCTAAACAGAATCGTAGAATCAATGTGGTTGGCCAAGACCTTCAAGATCACTGAGTCCAACCGTAAGCCCAAATATGGGAACTTGTGGAAGACAAGTTAGGGTAGTACATTAACTGGAGATCTGGTTTTGTGAGAGAGTAGATGCCCCTAAAAAGGTGCTATCAATGCCCTTATCATTAGGTCACCTCTTCACTTGGCTTTCTAGGGATCTCAGAGTTTATCTGGCCCAGCTAGCATCCAAAGGAGCATTATCCTGAGATCCCTGGGGTTGTCTACAGGGAGGAGCAGAGGAGAGCACTGGCCTGTGAGGACCTTCTGTGCAGCCTTCTGTGTCCCTTAACGTCAGTAGTGCTGGCACAGAAGCTCTCCTTAGATCATACCTATTTTTGTTAGGTTTAGATTTGCTTAAATTAGCGCTGGTCTAAGGCATCCGTCCATCCCCCGACACAAAGAAGGATTTCATTAAGCTGAATATCTGTGGAATTTTCTTCTGAGTACCAGATGCTCCTGGAGGTTACTGCAAACATGGGCCTCTTTTGAGTTTCACAGTCCCTTTGGGAGCAGAGGGAAGGGAAGGGGTAGGAGGCACGGGAAAGATAAGTAATTGAGGTGGATGTTTTCATGAAAAAAAGCACCATTTTTGCAGGGTGAGGACTTAGGGGAAGGACAGACTGCGTGTGAGTTGGCAGCCAGCAGGATCTGGCAACAACCTGGCAGGGCCCTGGAGGGGACGTCCCATTGCAGAGCCAGTGTCAGCATCCTGTGCAATTGGAAAGATCACAAAAACTTTTTGGCAAAAGGGCTGTCAACTGACTGCGCAGCTGGGGAGGTTTCCAGTTCTGTTTGCACTGCTCTTTTCAGCAGCATTTGGGCTGACTTGCCTTTCTTTGCATGCACAGTTTCACAACTCTAAAAAGTGATCCTGTTTATGTAGCTCACTTAGCTGTTCCTTCTCAACCTTATTTTTCAGGCTTCTTTCCCACCCCTTCATAACTCGTTTCCCACCCCTTCATAACTCATTTGTATATTTGCTGCAATACCAAGTTAAAAATATGTGAGTGCAGCAGCCCTAGGTGGCTGCTCCTGTCCTCCATTTACCTCGCATCCTTTTTTATGTGACTATTTTGTATCCATTGCCATGATAGTGCAGCAACCACCCACACAGTGTAAACTGGAGCAGAGCCCACCTGCTTGTGCCCACTGGATTGATCCTGTTGGAATCAGCATTATGGAACGAGGATTTAGGAGTAAATGGCAGTGCTGTGTTGGCTAAAGGTTGTTCTTGATGGCTTTGGTTTTTGTTTATTTATTTATTTATTTATGGTTTCAGTCTGAAATATGCTTGTTCCTTCTGTCTGCTGTCCCATTTTCACAGTTGTCTTTCTTCAGTGTTGCAAGTGATGCCATGTTCCTGATTTTTTTAAATCTTCTTTCACTGCTTTGTATATGTTAAATCTCCTTTTCTCACTGTATTTATCTTTCTGGTTTCTCAAGGCCTTGCTACCTTCTTTTCTGATGCAATTTCCATTCCTTTCCTTCACATCATGCTCTTACTTTATTGAACTTCTCAATTTAATCCTTATCCATTTCATAAAATATGATCATGGTAGCACCAGCAGTAATCTGTGTCCAATTTTGCTGTGTGGTTCCCTTTCTTATATCCCATAATCGAGGGATATAACTGATTAATCGTGGGTACAACCAAGCACTAGACCACTCATAATGGTGCTGAGTTTTGGCCTCTTGCTCTACGGTAGCTTGGTCTGGATCACATTTCTGCTTATGGCCTTGCTTGGCTATAAGCAGAGGGACTGACTTGCATCAAGGGCACCAGAACCAGCTCACAGAAGAGCTTCTCACAGCAAAGGAGCTCCCAGCCTGTGCCAGGGCAGACATCTGGGTAGCACGCACAAGATAGGTAAGATAGGCGCTTGTTCTTCCTCCCTTCCTTGCATGGGTGTGCAAAGCAAGTCAAAATCCTGCTGTCTGCAAGGGATAGATCATCATCAGTGGGTGTTTTGCAAGCGCCAAGCCCGGCTGACGTCGGTGAAGCGCTGCCTGTTTCTGCCAGCACCGAGTTTGACCCATTTTACTCACTGAGTATATGTTACATACCTCAGTACAAGTGATGAAGCAGTGATTCATAGTGGCAGACACCTCTGCAGTGCTCAGAGAATTTCTAGATCTTTCCATAGCTGCACTTCTCCCAGGAAGCACCTCGTTTTCACTCCAGAGTGATCTGGCTAAGAAGCCCATGCTGCCTTCCTCCACATCGAAAGCCCCAAGCACCTTCCTCTGAATCTGCTTCATCTTTAGTGTGTGTTGCAAGAGTGGATCTCTAGCATCTCGTGCTTAGTGCAGTAAGTACCAGGTGCTGCTCTAATGTGTGAACTTGCTTCCATGGATCCCTGCGTCATTGAGCTGAGCCCTGCATCTCTCTGTTCATTTTTTTTCCCTTAAACTTTCACAGAAACTATTAAAAAAAAAGCCAACCTTATAATGGGTTTGTTTTTTTTTCCATCTTTGTTGTAGACATATTATTTCAACAGAGTCTGCTATTGCTGTTATGGTGTATTTATAGTGATTGAGTATTGTGCATTAACGTTGCAGCATGCTGTTGTGAGGACGTGTCATCCTCGCAGCCCTGATCCTGGTACTCCAAGCTTACACTCTTTGCATTCATTTGATGACTTTTTAGCAACCGAAACTAAAATTGAGCATACAAAATGAATATTGCCAAATATGTGTTGTCTTCTAATCTGGTTATGGCCCAGCTAGGCAAGCTTGAACTCGGACACAGGTTTGCTACTAGTCCTGCTGCAGCTTTGATCAAATTAATTAACATTTCCTGAGTTGCTTTCCTATGTTGAAAGGGGAAAAACAGTAGCTATAACCTCATATCATTGCTTCTATATAAGCAATATATTCATATTGTCGTTAAACATTAAAGAGTGTTCTATATTTTATACAGCTCTGATAGAGCAGTGTGAAGAAGAAAATTAGATGATAATGATGTGCTGATGATGTTTTTTCCTGTTTCCAGCATTTTTTATGTATTTAATAACATACAAATGTTCGATGCACATTTGACTTTTTCCCTTTTGGTCTTTGTTGTGTTATTTTTCATTCATAAGTAGCCTCTTGTTTTCTGACATAGTGTTTTGGGAGAAGGAAAGTAATGTTTTTCCAAACAGTTCTTTATCCAAGTTCGGGCTGAGAAGCACTGTGGATTTGGTCTCCACCCTCTGCCCCAGACACTCTTCAGCATGAGAGAAAAGCAAAGCTCTCTCTTAATGAGATGGGACTGGGTTGGATAAACATCAGATTTGAATTGCCTGCTCTGTCTGGAGCTGTAGTCTCACAGCTTGGCTAAATAACTCCCAGCCCTTCCTCCATTGGAAAGGGAGGTTTTGAGCAGTCTGCAGGTTGAAGATCTTTTGAATTAGGCCTTAAGAATTTACCTCCTGTCTGTTTGGAAAGTCTGTAAGGATTTGTGGTGTTTTGCCACGACTACTTGCCAAGGTTGCCTTCTCCTACCTGACCATACGGTACACGATCTGGCTGGGGGACTTGTGCTTTCTTTTTCAAAAAGGCTTCGTTGTTTTGGGGTTGTTTGGTAAGACCTTTAAACCTTTGGGAATTGCACTCTATCCTATATGTTTTGTTGTCGGTGATTTTACATCCATTTGCTGTTAGCTCCAGAGCTTACTTAATTCAGTTAAACTTTTGAGAGATTGGGGAGACTGGATTGCATCCTATGTGGAAGGAGAATTTGCGGTGAGAGTGCTCTGTGGGCTGAGTAAATGCAGAAACAAATTCAAGTGAAAGCTGTGGTTCTGTCCCCAATATTTTTTTTAATATAAAATATATAACGTCTCCCGTAAAAGAGAGATCAAGGACTATCTCCATTAAGTTGCATTAGCATTTCACATCCAGTGTTTCCCCTGAGCGCACAGGTCAAAGGAGAGTGGCCATGTGTATGACCTGCATCCCTCAAAGACAGAACAAAATATTATTTTGCTAGGGACAGAGAGCTGTGTCCTCCGCTTGTCCTCTGAGGCAGTTTATTTCTCATGTCCACAGAATCGACGACTGTTTCTGTGCGTCTCGGAAACTGGATGCCGTTGCCACCGAAGCGAAGTTCAAGCAGGACCTGGGTTTCCGAATGCTGAACTGTGGCCGAACAGATCTAGTTAAACAGGCCATATCCTTGCTGGGCCCAGATGGAATTAACAGCATGAGTGAACAGGTAACAAAAGAGAAATGCGAAGAAGTAACTGTGAAACATTAGAGTTTTGTCTGCTTGTTGCACGATGTGAGCTCCAACATGAGCTCAGTATAGAAAGGTGCTCACTGTATTACTTTGCAGTGAATTAAAGCACCATCAGGTGAATGTTCAAGTTAAGCGTGGTCATCTTGAGTCATATTGATCAGTCAGTATTGAGGTAACTCAGTGCAAAGGTAAATGAGTCCCCCTTCTTAAAATTTAGATGATCTAATGAGCTTAGTGGGGATTTGAATACTTAAACTGTTTCAATGTCATGAAGAGTGGTGTCTGGGAGGGCTTGAGGTTGAGGGTTTCCACAGGAAACTGCCCTGAGGTTTGCAGCACTTTTCATACATAGCACCCAAGGCTTGGCAAGCAAAGGCTGCTCCCTTTCACCCTGTCATTGAATTGAGCCCAGTTTGAACTAGCACCTAGATGGAACAGTGTCTCTAGAGCGTTACCTCCCTACTAATCTTTAGAGACCGTAGCCACCAATTTAAGAGCCTGAATTTATCTGGAGTAAAGTGAACTAGTAAGCTAAATGCCTTTAGGAGCCCATGCCCTTGACTTTGACTAGGGTTCATCAAATATTAGCATCTCTATGGAGCTGCTTGTTTTATCTGTGATGAACCTCCATGGTTGTACCAGCAGAAATATGCTGGACTGCTGAGGTCTTAAGATTGTTCCCCATTCCCAGAGAGAAATGATGACATTGAATATTACTATTTCCTTTTGAAATAGAGTTGCCTGAATTTTCTGAGAGACTATTTTTGATGAGACCTTCAAGACCAAGATCCTGCTTTTTCTGCAGAAATATGAAAGATTCTGGTGCCCCAATCCAAGTCACTCCATGTTCCCAGAGCTGTGGCATCCTATTTGGCAACAGACAGCCAACTGCCCTCTCTGTTGTAGTGACCTGTGGTGAGAGCTGCATTTTAAACAGGGTTTAGGTCCCCTGAGATGAAACCTGCCTTAGGAATATGAGTTCCTCGGCAGTTCCAAACTGCTATTCAGCAGCTTGTTTGAGACAATATTGTAGGTTAGTTTGAGAAACGCTTTAGAAGAAAGCGATACTCTCAGAATAAATTTTATATCAGAGAGATCATTCTGAGGTTTATACATTAGACTTCTTTAGATCACTATTGTTTTAAGTTAGTCTGAACTTGGAAGCTTTTCACAACTCATTTCACCTGTCCTGCAGGCTGAAAGCTGGGAGAACTCTGGCTTGGTTCACCAAAGTGCTTAATCATATGCTCAGCTCTGAACACAAACTTACATCCCATTGGAGTGAAAGTCGAGCCTGTGCTTAAATGCTTCGCTGGATCAGACATCCCACATCTTGCAGCACATCTTAGGGCAGGACAGAGCCCTAAGCAATACAAGGCTGAAAGAAAAAAAAAGCCTTTTTAAAAAATTTTTGCCAAAGCCCAAATGCCTGTTGCATTGATCGCACATGGTGTTACCGTGTTCCTGTTCATGTGCTGAGCAGTAATGATGGGCTCGTTAAAAAGCCGTTCCTCCCACCGGCGAAGGGAGAGGGGCTGAGTGTTGATGCAGAGCGAGTCGGTGCTGCAGAGCAGGCCTCAGGGACGGGCAGCTGCAAAAGCAGCAGTGACAGCTGTGGAGAGGAAGGGGAGAATAGGAACTTTGTTAACTGTTTTAATCCCCGGTATTGCAAAATGATGTTCTGGGCCCCCATTTAATCCCTCATCAGCTTCAGCAGGGCCAAAATGTCATATGAAGTACTTAGGTAGACTGTTTGCTTAAGAAAGACCCCTGCAATTACTGTGGCAGGATTTGCCACTTTGGACACTAATGTGCTGTGTCTTGTAGGTTGGAGTTCAAGCATTTAAAAAAAAAATCTTCAAATTTGTTTAGACCCTTTGTGTTATACTCTTAGTTTAATTATTATACAGCTGGAAATAAATGGAAATGTGCCAGCGACTGTAGCAGAAGCAGTTTCAAGTTCTCTTTGCAAATAACTTCATGTCACCCAAGAAGCCTCCTTGCCTGAGGTGAAGTTGCTTCTTATTACTAACAATATCAGTCCCCAAATTCCTGCTCCTTTTGACTGTATCTCAAAAATACACTAGAGATTTGATAGAATATTCAATGTGTTTCAAGGGGTATTCAGAAATCCGTGGCTGTTGATCAACATCCTCCCTCCCCAAACGTAATAAGCAGATTTTTCTATTATAATTTATGGTAGATTTAATGATATCTTCATGGTTTCATCTAAGATTCATACTGCCAAAGTAATACTTATTTTAAGGGAAATAATGATCATCTGGACCAGGTATTTCAGCTTAATACAAATTGCATGGTGGCAACTCTGTAGTGAAGGATCACTTAATGTAGTTTTCCTCCAAACCAGACAGTGTTTTCCTAGACCCAGCAATGTGCAACAACACTGTTCAACATTTCATTTAAAATTAAGTCCTCGTTTGCTGTGGAGTGTTATACAAAGCTTTTACATTCCCAGCCCCGCATAAGGAAGCCGTGTCCAAATTCTATCCCGTTTTAAGACAAAATGGATGTTTTTTAAGGAATTAGAAATTAAAAAGCAGGTTTTAGGAAACAGTGATCATAGAAAAACTGAGTAATTGATTGCCTGTTTTTAGTAGTGGTGGGAATAGGTTAATTTGATCAGAAACATCTCTCTGCTGTGGCCCCAAAGACAAAGATGCTCAGTTTAGTTCATGAAGATGGAGATGGACAAGCCTAGTTTCAGCCATGGTGTGGAGGGTGCTGAGGACAAAACCACAAAAAAATACAACAACAGAGGGGCAACAAATAATTGAGATTTTACTGAGCAGCCGGATTTTGCGAGTCTGAGGGGCTTGTCTGCCATAGCAGAGGTTGTGGATTTTGTTAAACACAAACTGTTAGTTGTGATAATATGTACTTAAATAATTATTTTCTTTAAAAAACAAACAAAAGAGTTCTGTGGTAAATTTGTCAATTCCTTTGTTTTTTAACTCCAAAAAATGATTAGGGCATGACTCCACTGATGTATGCTTGTGTCAGGGGTGATGAGGCTATGGTGCAGATGCTGCTAGATGCTGGAGCAGATCTGAATGCAGAGGTGAGGACTTTTTGTTATGATTGTATCTTTGTTCTGTTATTTGTTTACATCTCAAAGCACTCGCTGTAGCAGAGGGGAAAATATTCAGAAATTAAAAACTGAAAAAAGTTGTCTTGTCCTGAACAGCAATGCTTGAAATGAATATTGAAATTGAAATAAGACTACATTAGGTTAACATTGGGATTCGCTGCACAAAAAAGGTCAAGTCGTCGGAGACTTACCCCACAGGTAATGTTGTTGATTTAATTGTGATTGCACACTGCAAATGACTAGAGACGTGAATACCAGCCCAGTGCTAATGATACTGGTAGGATTGATTGAATCTCAGCTGAGTTAAAATGAAGAGGCTAAGAGCAGTGCCCTTCTGATATCCTGCCAAAGCTTGAACATTTCTATGCATGGGGATGTTCCTTGTAAACATCCACAATGTGCAAGTGCAGTATGAGATCCACTGTTTTGTTCTATGAAATGCCTTGGGTTAAAACCTGTTGGATGAGGGGCTTGAAGCTTCCAGAATGTAAACCTCTCTCTGATGAAGGTGCATCACAAATTCGCACAATCTGGCCACCCAGCAGATTGTGCTACCGTTCTGAGCAATGCAGGTATGTACATTTGAAAGAGCCTTTTGAAGATGCACAGAGGAATTATTTGTTAATGGTTCCGCTTTCAATTTGTTGAGGTCATGAGTAAATTAAGCTGTCTGCTTCACTTATCTGTGTTCCATCTGTTCTGTTTGGATTTGAGAGGGCTGATAAGTTGTAGTCACTGCCTTCAGCCAGACATTTTGCACCTTTAAAAAATTTAATTTAAAAGTAGAAATTGATGTCATGTGTAAGAGACTAATAGTTATTACTATCTGATTGCTGTTTGGTGACTTCTGTGAAGCCAAATGATGATTTTCGCTCAGTTCCTTGCGGAAGCCACTCTTGCCTCTCCCCTCCCAAAGTTCAAGTAAGCCACCCTCAGACTTGGCAACAACTGGACACGCAAGCCCATGTTGACTGTCTCCATAGACGGACGATCGGATGGGCATGGAGACTGATTTTTCCTTTAAGCTTTTTTGCTGCTCACTGAGTTGAAGTGGCATGCATTTGCTTCCTAGGACAAGCTTTCCAAGTTCTCATTGCAATAAGAAAGTCCACTCCTCCCAATTGCTCCAGTAATCTTCCAGGCTTGAACCAAATGTAAATTTAAACACTTTTGTCTTCCTGAAATTGCTGACATCAGAGAGAACAGCTCCAGTGAGGAATTTGATCCTCCCTGATTCATTTCTCCAGAATTTTTGCTCTAAAATCAAATGAAAACACTTTGGGACAAGAACTGTGAATAATTATGGTGTGCAATTAGAAGATGATTTGGGCACACCACAACCAACTGTGCAAATTGGGCAATTATGTGGGAAAAAAAAGGCAAATCAACCATGAACAAAAATAAATACTCCGTCAGGTGCCTGCATCATTTTCCCCATTTCACTTTGCAAATCAATTATATATGTTTCCAAAAGTAGCCTCAAATGCTGGGTGCCTCCCCTTTTGATTACCCATCTTTAGAGAAAATGGACTCATTTTCAGATGTGTTGGGAAGCTGCAATTTGCTGTGGAGCTGGTGGAACCTGTAGCTGCTCAGCAAATCTTAACTAACTGAGGCCTTAAAAGCCCTGTCAACTGCAGGTCTTTTGCAACCCCCATGTCTACTGAAACGAAATTTCTAATGAATAAAAGGAGCACAGGAGTTAAAAATACTGCATTTTCTTCTCTGCTTGCTGTGGGCTACCCCAGATAGTAGTGGGAGTCCGTGCTGGAGGAAGAGGAGTAGCTGGGTGTCTCACTGGAGGGGCTGCTTTGCCTTGAACTTAACCTGCTCATCCTCACCCCTTGCTGTTCTCGCTCCCAGCCCAAACCCTAAGAGCTGCTTGATCCTCTCCCCTCTCAGCAAACTCAGACCCAAAGAAGTCCCATGCCTGTGTTAGACCTCAGCACACTTCTCCATGAGCTTCAGGAGCGTGGAGCTCCCTGAGATTCATGCAGCCCTATGGGGCTGCAAAAGAGAGAAGATCATTTCAGGCTCTCCCTTTGGCAAATGTTGTGATATGGCCAGCTGCTGGCACACGTTTCCTCCTCCTGTAAGCTGTGGGGTCTTCACTGGCCGTTCACACTCCAGCCTTGTCCCTGGGACTGAGGAGCAGGTCATATGCTTCTAGCAAGAGGTTGCATGTGGAGCTTGCAAATGCTATTTGCAAATGCAACAGAGCATTTAATGACTGCCCCTACTGTCCCATATTGATAGAACTGCTGCAGACCAGAGAGTGAAAGCAGAACTGGATACTGAGAAATGGAGCATCGTTTACTCTGGTTTTAGTCGTCCTCTGAAGATCAGTAATAAGACTTTGAATTTTAGTGTCACGCTCCATCTGACTGTGCAATCTCAGATTGCAAATGTTCATTAGATTTTACCATCTCTATGAACCTCATCAATATTAATATCTCTATCTTGAAGAAAGGGAAGCTGAAGCAAAGAGATTTTACCCAAGGTCTGCAGTAGAGGCATCAGACACAAAGGCATAGAGAAGGAGCAATGTGTGAGGCATCATTTTGGCTTTAAAGAATTTAGTTTGCATCTCTTTTGATTGTAGCTGCTCTGCTCTTTTTAACTCAGCTCAGACAGGAGAAAGCAGTTCTTTCAAAACAACTTTGAAATGCTGCTCTACCCCCTCAGTTCTTAAGTATCTTTTCTCCTCCAGTGGAAAACAAGGAGCCTGGAAACACGTCCTTAAACTCTAGTGTAGGGACCACAACATGTCTTCCTGGATGTCAGTGACAAAAACCACCCTAATTTGTGTGGACACAAAGCAATACCAAGACCTGGGGCTGTTGATTTGCAGCCTGCAAGAGTCAGTGGGGAGTGATCCTTAACTCTAGGTGTCCTGATGAGTCCTCGCATGCCCATGTATGCTGCTGTAAACAGCCGTGGACGTTTTGACTTTGTGCAAAAGTATCTGGTGGACAGTGGTTTAGATGGAGCTACAGTAGTTGGTAAAAAGACTTAATTTGGTATGACTCTATTCAAGCTGTCAAATCAGCATGAATGCTTCTAATTTTAAGAAAAAAATTGCTGGACAAAATGAAACTATTTATAAAGTACCTTTCCCAGGTTTTCTATTTCACTTATTCCCTCACATGCCTGGCTTTCAGGCAGGTTGGATTTTATTACTTATAGATCTTCGAAAGCCATTAAAAAAATAACTTTAATTTGTTTATAGGTTGTCAGTACTGCTCATAAATACCCATCCGTCCACCCTGAGACCCGCCATTGGACAGCTCTGACATTTGCTGTGTTGCATGGACATATTCCTGTAGTTCAGGTATTATTGTATTTCCCTACCTGCATCTCATTTTTTTGTTTTTCCTCTTCAGTTACAATTACATCCATCTCAAACCAGTATCCTCTGTCATACTCATATTGGTTATTTCTGCTTCTTCTGGAGTGTACTGATATATAATAGACCTATTATATAATGATTACTATGCTCAAACCTTAACCAATATGAGGTTTAAACAGGACAATTTTAAAGCAAAGCTGCACCAAAGAAAGTCTGACAACTCCTTGTGCTCCTTCCTGACCACTTGTTTTATATGTTTGTTTATTCATTCATTGCACTCTGATATTATTATACTCTAAAACACAAAATGCAACCTGATGTGTTGTTCTGATCCAAAGACAGAGAAGCACTCAGTCTCCTTACCCAAGCAAGACGTCATGTGCAGTATGCTGGTTCTGTGCTTTGGCAGCTCAGAAATTGAGCGGGTTTATTCTTCAAAACAGTTGTGTCTGTGGCACACACAACGAAGCTCCAAAATAATGAAAGCCTGTGACAGAAATGGCCAAGAGCGGGGTGGAGTGCAGGCTCCATCCTGTTGTCCTTGGCCAGTTTTGTTTTCATCACTGTTACTATTCATGTGGAAGTGTATCTGATGGAGACCACAGGTTTTGGACTCATTGCTGCAATTTGTTCCTAAAAATTGCCTTTCTTTGGCCATGTCTTTATACTAAAGATGGAGGCAGTTGAAATCTGATCCATTTTAGGATGGCGTGACCTTCTAGAAGACCGTGAAGGAAGGATGCTTGTTGGGCAAATTTTCAGTACTTCCATCCTCAGTGCATTTACTTCCTAACACTGATCTTATCCCCATTTCCCATTCAGAAACACCGAGTAACACTTTTTTGGCTCTGAAGTTGGACACTAATGCTCCTGGTGTCTGGCAGTGTAAAATGAGCGAAAAAAGGAATCAATTTTCCTTTGTGAAATTATGGCTGAATTTGCATGTTGCCTTTCTCCATTACATCTGGTTTGCAGAAAACAAGAAGCATTAGACCCTCATCCTTCACTGTTCATGAACTCTGAACACTGTGGTTGTCCCAGTTGCTCTAAATGGTGAATTTTCTTTATAGCTGTTGCTGGATGCTGGAGCAAAGGTAGAAGGTTCTTTGGAGCATGGAGAGGAAAATTACTCTGAAACTCCTTTACAGTTGGCAGCAGCAGCTGGTAAGGACTTTCTCCCCTCCCTGTACTAACTTTTATTTCAGTTTGGATCTCTGATTTAGATGAGCGAATGCTGGACTTCAAAGGAAATAAAAAATGCGTCTCTTGACTTTCAGGAAATTTTGAACTGGTTAGTTTGCTGCTGGAGCGAGGAGCTGACCCCATGATAGGCACCATGTACAGGAACGGCATTTCCATGACTCCACAAGGTGACATGAACTCTTTCAGTCAGGCTGCTGCACATGGACACAGGTAGAGTGGGAACAAGTCTAGTGGCATCGTTCAGATGGTTACTTTTTTGCCTGGGAGCCTGGTTGGAGCAGATGGGTGGAAGCTCTGCATGAACAATTAAACATGCCACCAGCTGAGCAGAGATAGAGGCTTTCCGCTAGCATGTGAATTTGGGCAGTAGGTGGAACTAACTGCTTTTTGATTTCTGATAAAAAAAAAAAGGAGGGAACTCTTTGTGGTTGTGTTGCAGTGTGATGTTTGTAAAATGGTAGCTGATGTGAGGCTGGAAAGGAATGCCAAAGACATTCCTTCAGAATTTCTCTCGTGGATGTAGTTCTGAAGTTCGGGGTGGATTGTGGATTGTGTCTGTCCTGCTGCAGCCTTAACTGTATCCAAGCAGAGTGTCCGCGTCAGTGTTTGCCGTAAAGTCCCGTGTGTGTTAATGTTGTATGTCCGCTGCAATTTTATTTTTTAAAAAAAGCAATGAAATAAGCACCTGGCATGCATGATCTTGCAATATTCAGGAGTTTATTGCAGAAAAATGCATTAGTATTATGACCTTACATTCCTACTTTTCTGATTGTAGCCATCCAGAGGAACATAGATACAGGTTAGAGACAGTGTCTACCGTCTATTTGCTTAGAGAAGAGCTGCCAGCCACACAACGTGCTAGTGGCAGTGAGGGTGGGTTCAAACAACTCTGCCCATCTGAAGCCTCTGAGGAGTCTCCGGGATAGAGGACAGTTTGTTTATTGCAGTCTCATGTTTCTTGCTGGGAAATGGGTACCAACTGGTGTGAGCGGGAGCTGCATCGTGGTACCAGTGTTTGCTAGCAGGACCTGAGAGTCTCCTGGATTTGGCTTCTGGCTATGCATTTGTGCAGAGTCACAATTTACTTGATTTTCACCCAAAAGCTGCCTCTTATCTTCCCAGCTGGACACGGTGCACATGCACTGCCTTGTAGTGCCTCTCTACGCAATCCCTCGCTCTTTCAGCTGGGGCCCACACGGCTGGAAAGTGGCGTGGGGCTAGCCCGGTTTCTGTCCTCGCAGCCCCGGAAACCCAGGAGCAGCTGTTGGGATCAATGAGGTTGTGCTGCTATGAACCAAAGGGGAGAGGGATACCAAGCCACTGGCTGAATTAGGGCTGTGTCGTTAGGCAGCCTAGGTGGCTGGCTCTGCAAAATAGCCCCAAATTTGCTTGAACCTGCCCTGATCAGCCTGGTTGAATGGCTGGTTGCTCCAGCCTTCACAGACTGCTTTGACTGTTAATTGGCAGTGCTGGTATTTCCCAGTAGCTTCAGACATCCTCCTTTTCAAGTGGTGTCCACTAAGTGAAATTTCTTAAAGCTTTTCTAAAAGCAACTTTTCCTAAAAGCAACTCAGCCTCCCTGAAGAGTGGGGCAGTACCCTCAAGTTCAACCACGTTTAGCTCATGGGCTTCTGTTCCTACAAGCTCCTGCTGCACATCTGTACAATTTCTGTTACTGCAGCCATGTAGGCAGCCTTGCAGACACGGTCCATGCAGTATGGGTGGACTAGCAAGAGTAGTGCTTGCGTCAGGGCTGCTGTGAGGCCATCTTGTCTAATGACTGTTAATTGGGATAATTTCTGATCGGCCGGCTGGATGGGTGTCCTAACCTGCCAAGGCGTAGCAAGCATCCTGGACAGAAAGAAAGCATAATCACTAACTCTGCTTTGTCTTCATTTCTTTTTTTCTTTGTCTCTCCTTGTTGTGCTGTGGTTGACAGGAATGTGTTTCGCAAGCTCCTTGCTCAGCCCGAGAAAGAGAAGAGCGATATTCTGTCCCTGGAGGAGATCCTGGCGGAGGGGAACGACTTGCCCGATTCTGCGGCAGCTCCCCTTTGCGCCAGCCGCAACAGCAAGGCCAAACTGAAGGCCCTGAAGGAAGCCATGTACCACAGTGCCGAACACGGATATGTGGACGTGACTATCGACATCAGGAGCATAGGTCAGCTGTGGTGTCCTACTTCTTTCCCATCTTTCTAAGGCTCTACTAGTCTTAGAAAAACATTTTCAAGCTGTTGGTCAAGCCAACCACAGTTAAATCTTCACGAACTTCTGTAGAAGCAGCAATCATAGGAGATTTCCAAGTGGGTCTGTGGGTGAGGAGAGGGGGAGGCGAGTTCAGTTGGTTCAAGTCAGGCTTAAAGCTGTGGCCTCCTGGGCACCTGTCAAGTCAGGTTTGCTTTAATGAACCCTGACTGAATAGGGCGATCTCCCCTGGGTGCCGTGTGCTTCACTTGTCTACTCCCAAATGCAGATGCCACCTGACATACATGCCGTGAGCTCGGCGTATCCTGGACATCTCCATTCTGCCCCGTCTGCCGATGGCTGCCCTGGCAGCGCATCTGCCCCCTCTCTGGTTTCATGCACTGACAAAGTGCTTGGCAGAGACAGGCTGAGCAGTTAAGCCTCCTGCTTCCTGATCTGACCCAGCAAAGCAGCTTTTTTCATGACAAGTCCTGCCTGTTACATCCATTCCAAGAGCAGCATCTGGTTCTCCATCCTTCCATCTGGAGGTGTCAAGGAGTCCTGTGGGCTCCTGTGTCACCTTTCTCAGGGACCACCAACACTTGTCTGCACAACCGAGTAGTTTCCACCAGCAACCATCTTCACTTGGGTTTGGCAGAGCATCAGCTAAGGGCAGCTCCTCATTTGTATTCAGCCAGTAAAGCAGTAATGATCTGGCTTCTTGGTGGGCTAATTGTGCCAGCATGGAGATTGAACATCACTCCAGCCTTTTGGGAAATTGTTCCTGCCTTTGCAAAAGGTGGGCAGATTGTGCAAAAGGAAATGGGTCTGGACTATGTTTTTACCATCCCTGTTAAGATGCATTCAAAGCAAGAGACCACGGTGCTGGGCATGCTCCTTTGTGGTACTGTGCTCCATCCTGGCCTCTTCTGGCCCACGTCAATGTTGGCCACTGGAGTGGGAAGCCGATGGTGGCCACGTGCCTCACTGGGAGCACTGAGCAAGCAAAGCCCCAGGGGGTGGGTGGGAGAGAGCAAAGGGGCTGCCCTCAGGACAAGGGGCATTTGCTGAAGTAGAAGGAAGGACCTTTTGTCACTAAACCCAAGACCCAGAGCACATGTTCTGCAAGAACAGAAACTAGGTTGCGTTCAAGCTAATGCCTGGTCTATGTGTTTTGTCAGTCAGTGCATGGGAGCATTTCCCTTTAAGTTCCTGAAGTGTGGTACTACCGTGACAAGTGACTCCTTAAAAAGGCTGATGCACTTATTTCACTCAGTGCTGTTTAAGGGAAATAGTAACAACTGGTAGAGGACTTGGAGTAGAGCTTAAAAAAAATGTTTAATTGTGGAGCCACCAGTTTGAATGCTGGTGGGTAGTGACTAATTTTTTTTCATCATTTAATGCCTCTCTGGGGCCACATCCAAACAAATGAGCTAGTGTAAATCTAGTTTCCAACAGTTTTTTTGCATTGCAAAGCACCACAGCAATTATCACAAATTGGCAGTCTCAGCAGAGAGACTGAGGGCTAGATGAGCAAAGAGACCACAGTCTCCTCATAACACTTTGAGGGGCACCCCTATGTATTAGGCTTGGGATGTTCTGATAACCATCAGTCTTCATTTTTGTGGATAAATAGGAATTTGATCTCCAGGGTTGTTTTGCAGGTTTTGCTTAAAATCTTTACATTAATGTAACTAAAGACTAAAAAAAAAAAAAAGGAAAGAAAAAGAAGCAGCAAAAGGACACATGGTCCTCTGAAGGTGGGAACGAGCTCTGTCCCCTGTCTGCAGGTGTTCCCTGGACACTGCACACATGGCTGGAGTCCCTGCGAACGTCCTTCCAGCAGCACAGAAGACCCCTCATCCAGTGCTTGCTCAAGGAATTCAAGTCCATTCAGGAAGAAGAGTACACAGAGGAGCTCATCACACAAGGGTTGCCTTTGATGTTTGAGATCCTGAAAGCGAGCAAGGTAGGATAAATGATGCCTTTTAAAGAAATCAGTCTCATTTCAATCACCTAAAATGCAAACCTTGCAATACAGGTTTTGCACAACTGTCCCGAAACTTGTGTAGATCATGTAGAATTATTATTTTTTGTATTGGGTGCTTCTCTTTTTCTTTTTTTTTTTTTCCTATGGAAGGCTAAGTTAAAAACATTGTGGGCTATTTACATCTCCTGCTAGAACAGCTTGATATTGATGCTAACAAAGAGATGGAGAGACAACAGAAGCTAATGGGAAAATTAATGTCACAAGGGTCATAGTAGTACACCAAGACATGTTGATAACTGAGCCAACGCAGAGAGTAACTTTACCCAGCCTGCTATATAGGACCATACAACAAAGCTAATATTCATCTTTGCATTGGATTTTTTTGACATCTTGCATGATTTTCTTTTCCTTCATGTGGGATTTGGACCTCTGAACTTGTGGGGAGACTGGATTCTACAAGCATACATACAGAATAATTAAAAAATCCTCTGTGTGAGTGTTTGTACTTGCAGTCTCCCCAGATGTATTTTTAGTTTGACATTTTCTTACCCAGACAAATCGGCCTAACAAAACCTTTTGAGGGAGGTACCACAGGGTATGCAAGTATAATAGCAAAGGGGAAGATTGTACAGCAGGCAAGGAGAGGAAAATGTCTTAGGTATTTAGTGAAGGCTGGATACTTCCTTTTATGACTTATTTTCATCAGCTGTCTCTTCTACTGCTGCCATTGCCAGCCCTTCCCAGTTCACGGTTTCTGTCTGAAGCCCTGTCAAGTCTGCTGTTTTCTGGTGGCAGAAAATTATTTTAGTAATGAAAAGGGTTTTTCTTAAGCACCATAATACATGTCAGTAAGGCCTTCTCTTTGTTTAAGTGGAATGTAAGAACCGTTCTTCACTCAATTCAACACCCAGCAGCAAGGAGCAAATACCTCTTAGTATCTGCAGCAATAACGCAAAGGATGTGAAAATTATGGGGGTTTTGGGGAAGGCACTCAGTGCTAAAAGTTTCCATACTTAGCAAAGCAAGTGAAAGCTTACTCAGATATATTTCCTATATGTGGTTCCACAAGAAGGCTCAGACTCAAAGTCCTGAGCAAATGTTGAACATTAGTTCCAGCAATTGCTCTGGGTTTTATTCCCATGAACTTTTGCTTTGGGATTAGATTGTAATGGATAGGTATTTATGAAGAATTTTTAGAGATAACTTTTTGGAAATCAGTCCAAATCCCAGGATTTGTAGACTCCTCGCTCTGAACTTGCTTAGGTTAATATATGCTCATCCAGCAACCAGCAGTAAGGTGCTGTTTGGTTTGAAAGCTGATGTAAAACTAATCGTATTGAAAACTTCATGGAGATTAGGTTTAGGCCTGGTAATCTAGGATGAAGGATAGGTCTAAGTGGTGTTCTCCTGGGTGGCTGAAGCCAAAACCAATGGGTTTATACATGTTCAGCTTTAAAATAAGATATTATGTAGGATTATACCTCTTAAGAGTTGTTAGACTCGCTCTTCTGGCCTACAAGTGTCTCTTGTAGGCAACTTGGTAGCAAATAAGACTGTGCATCCTTTTGCTTTAGGTTCACTTAAAATCTGAAATGTGGAGGGGAAAAATAAAATAGTACAGCAAACCCAGTACGATGGAGACAAAAATCTGAGTTGGTCTTTGCCTCTGAGCCTGGGGGAAGTGCCTGTCTTCACTCTTCATGCACATGGATATCCACAAACACACACACACACACACAAAAAATCATATTGTTAGAAAAATAATGAATCATTCTGGGGCACTGTAAGGTTTTTAAAATTGTCCACAAATAGCATGAATTACTGACACCGTCTTGGCCAAGTGGCCTCTCACAAAGCTCTCCCAGACAGAAATGAGGACAGACTCCATCCAGCCCTTTGGCAGGAATCAAAATAAAATCATTTACAGGAGAAAAAAGCCAATAAAATTTCTCTCTGGTCACTGCCATAGAAGGCAGTTGAGAAAAGCTGAAATTCAAAGGATATTCTGTTCTACTTCTCTGAAAGGGCTGAGAGCAGACATTTGCTTTATATATACCCACAGAATGGAAATCTCCTTCAAGAAGTACAGCAGAGCTGTAGCTGTGGTTCTGATCCCTCTCTTTCCACAGCAAATTATAGAGCTCTGCGTTTTATTAAGCTGTGGGGGGAGTGTGATTTGTCCAAATGGACACCCTTTTCCCTGTGGGCTGGGATCTTTGGGAGAGATTGCAACTCGTGCTAAACATCGCAGTCTGGCCCAGTACATTTCCTTAATGAGCTGATCAGGGCACAAAGCATAAAATAAGCCACTAGGAAGCACAGAGTCGCTTAGCATTTCTTGGCTTATATATATAAAAAAAGATGTCCCATTTGCTACATATTTTGGATGCTCAGTATATTTTAATTGCATGGCAACTTGTACCTAATAGAAATGGCATTTTCCATTTCTATAAATAGTTCCAAATATCCCATAGTCTCAAAACAATTTACAAATATTAATGAGTTGAGACAGGGATGATATCTTAGCCTCCCTCATACAGAGAAACTGATGTAAGCAGATAGGCAGGTTTCCACCACCTTGTAGGGTACATAGGTATACCTAGATAAGGCAGGGAAAAAAATGTAATTTGAGTACATTGGATAGAGCATCTTCTACTTTGCACTGTCTGAAGAAATATCTGGATGGTTCCCAGGGCACGTGAAAAGGCCAGGTAGCACGCAAAAGAAAAAGTTATAGATCAAATGCGAATAGCTACAAGAACCATACCAAGTAAAAGAAACACACATCCATATTATCATACAGATGTTTTTAAAAATGCCTCTACCTTGAGGATTTCAGGCTGCAGGTGTCCGAATTCCCTCGGCAGCGGCGTGTCAGCCTCCGACGGCACGGCGCTCTGCTCCCCTTCACGTGCCAGACGGTAGTGACAGAGAAAAAAGGCTTTCAGAATGTCCTAGTGCGGGACCAGAGCCTGGCAGAATGGCAAATCGGACCAGACAGGTGCATATGCACTTCAGCAGAAGTCTCTAATTTTTTTGCCTTTCCTAAAACTGTGAAATAAAGAGGGGGAGAACAATTAATAAATTGCATATTGGGTGTTCATCGCGACACTAAAACCCTGGGGGAAGAGTTGGAAAGGCACAAATAAGGACTAGATCTTACAGGACTCCACCGGGACTGAGAGCTTTCATTGCCCTTCATGCCTTTAAATATCTTCATCAGCTGCACAGTTCTGAACTGGATCAGGAGCTGAGAAATGCCAGTGTTTGCGTGCTGCCGAGGCAGAGCTGTCCAAACAGGCCCTGCACTTGCTCCCCTCGGGGTTGCTGCTGTCGCGCGGCGAGCCTGAGTCACTATCAAACTGAAGACCAGGAACGAGATATTCCGGAGAAAGCAGTATCAGTAGAAAGGACACAGAGAGCACAGTTTAAGGCACCTTCTTAAGAGCAAGAGAAGTTCAAACCAGCAAAGCCCTAACTCTAACACCATCAGTGAAGTTGTGGCTCACTGGAGGATTGGGACCACCAGATGAGGAGGAAAGTCCCTGCTGCTTTGAGACAGATTAAATGTCTGAGGCAGACAAGCTTGCAAGCGTAGCCTGCTGAAAGTCGTTTGGACAGGACTGCATGAGACAAAAGTCAGAGACACGCTTCTGGGAGGGAGTAGCCTGGAGCTAAACCTCAAAGATGCTTCATAGAGCAGAGAGCAGAGTCAAGCCCCTCAAAGGGAAGATGACCCTGGAGATCTTGTTATAGGAAAAGGACCGAACAACGCAACCAAATTTCTGCTCTCAGTATCTGCATCGAGCACTTCATGGCCTAAAGAAAACCCCCAGATTTCTCATTGGAAATTCTCTGTTGCCTCCAGCTGAGGTTGATGTACAGGCTCAGTATGAGGCTCAGTGCACCCGTTCAGCCCGTGCCACTGTGCTGCAGGCTGGGAGGACGGAGGCAGCTCTGGGCAGAGGGAGCTGAGGCCGTCAGGAGCTCATGTAGACACATATGTGCTCTTCCATTTTTGCAAAGAGGTGATCTTGAGAGATAACCTGCTGAATGCAAGTGATGTGTCTCTTCCTTCCTTAGAGAAGTCCTGAAGCTGTTGCAATTTGACCTTGACATTCCCACAAGCGGAAGAATTTAAACCACAATTGGTTTTAAGGCTGCCCTGGCCTTTGGAGGAACTTAGGTTTAGATTTCTGCTGTGGACCTGCATGTGAGCTTGAATGCTCTGTAAGGTCACCCACTTCCATGAACATGAGCCATCACTATTGCTGGCAGCACTCAGTTATGAGCTGGTTTCATCCACTGCATGCAGCAATTTGGAGCATACTGATTTAGGCCTATTTTTTGGCAGAAAAAAAGTCTTTTAACTCCTAGTGCTGCTTTTTCCCTTTCACCCACTCATGTGGACATGGAACTACTCTTTGCCATTACTTCGGATCCTTAGTGGATCTCAATATATCGCAGAATGGTGCATGTTAGTCCAGGTGTATGTAAGTGCACGTGCTCAGCGTGTTGTTCTGAAGCTCCTCTTGATGTGCTGTTGGAGGTTCTTCACACCGAGCAACGTTGGCTCCAGACCCACTATGA